TGAGAGGTAAGGAGTAGTTTCCCAACCTTCAAGGCACGGCTGAGTTCTGACTTGTGAGAAAATGTGTGATTTTTTTTCGAGACATATGAGAACCTGTCGGAAATTTGCATATACAGGGTGAGTAGTGAATTAATCGTATGGAAATAGTATCTCGGTTGAATTTGAGAAACCGTGTAAGGTTCCGCTTCGACGAGTCGATGCGATGCGAGATGCGTTGCTCCGCTCGGCGCCGCCGTTCGAGCCTCCCACCGAAGACCTTCCTGATTTGGGTATGCCCTTATCTGAAAACCAGAAAAATGTGGTGAGTAGTCAGTGTGGACATTACAATCGATCAAGTGGGCGCGCGCTACTTTTTTCTCAGAATAGCAGGACTATAGGGCACTGCTGAACCTTTTCAAGACGCAACACACCAGAAGATACGGACAATGAGGCGTAGTTGAGTAGAGCAGAGGTTTCGCTGATGTAATCTTCAACCAGGAGCAGAGGGTGAAGAATCAATACGATCAGAGACAAACCACAGAGATATGCCCAGAGCAAAGGGCAGATCAGAGCAGGTAGAGATAGAAAGAGATAGAGAGAAAAGAGAACTGAAGGGGAGAATATAGCATCCATCAACGGGCAGACATGATACTCAGGTCGGATAGTTGCCTAAAGTGGTGTCAGTAGAATGAATCCAAAACCGTCGAATTCATGCAATCTGCACGAAGGCAAGCGCTAGTTGAGTTACGCTACTATTCTCCGGGGCCAGCAATAATACCCCCGAGGGGATAGCAAAAACATGCACAAAAGGATATACGATTGTAGCTCTGGCTCAGAGTTCAAAATAAAGTGTACATGACGAGGTACAGATATCGTCATCATTCATCTTCTCATAGCACCAAGTAGACTATTAGGGGCTGCAGAGTTGAGGATATCTTGAGGAGTAGGCAGCGGCTGCTGGCGGACAATCTGCTGTCGCGCTATAAACGCACGTTGTACAGCAGCAGCGCGGACAAGAATGTTGTTATAGCGGACATTGAGATCAGCAAGCACGGCAGCCTGACGAATAGGCATCAAATTGTAACCGGCTTCGGTGGAGGACCTGCCGTCGGCACCATCATCTCGGTTACCAATCCAATAGATGAGGTAGGTATCAGCCGGTCGGACAGCCATGACTCGAGCAGGACCTATCCAGTTAGTAGTGACCTTGTAGTGAGCAGGTCTCCACACATAGACCCAAGTACCAGGTTCTATTGGACCAGAACGACGACCAACAGAGGCCAGTGCCCAACCCTTACGAGAAGCTGCTCTTCTGAGTTCCCAATTAGCTTGATATAGCTTCATACTAACTCCAAGGGAGTCTCGGATAGCTGCTGCAGCTTGAGCGACACTGTTGTTGACCTTAGAAGCGAGCTCAGATGGAGGGATCGCTTCGAAAGCTTCGATGAATCTCTCGGCAGCAGGGGAGAGCGGACGGTCAGAAGTACCACCAGGCAGTAGAGCCGTAGATCCTTTGGCCAAATATAGATCATTGGGGGTGACTGCAGCAGCACTCAGTGAAGAACCAGGCAGTGGAGAATTGTTATAGGCGTGGGTGATCAGGCTGTGGTACTTCCACCAATGGGAAGCGGGCGAATTAGTCTCCAGCAACATGCTCCTCAAACCATTCTGATACTCTCTATGACACCGCTCATAGAAAGCAAGGCGCGGGCTATACGGAGGCACCACAAGGAGCTGAATCCCCCTGGCAACAAACATGCTTCTCACCAACAGGTTAGCGAACTCCTTACCACCATCCACTAAGCAAACGCTCGGGGAAATGTCATCAAGAAGCTCACCAAGAACAGTTGCGACCTCTGGAGCGGACTTAGTGCAAAGCGTACGGGTCCATATCCTGTAAGTAGCAGCACATACTATCATCAATATGTACTTAGGCAGGCGGTCTGACATCAGTTCCGATGGGGTATTACCAGTAGTCTGTAGTGCAGTGTCGACCTCTGCACTCCATGGGGTGATTCCAGAAGAATCAGGAATGGAGTTATAGACAAGCAAGTCGACACCGAGAAGCTCACCGGGCAGTGAAGAGCGGACACGAGCTTCACCGAGAGAGTGCCGGTGGAGCCTAGTGCTCTTGATACGATTACAAGTATCACAGGAGCAAACAATGCGATTGGTCAACTTGTAGAGGCCTTTACACCAGAAGTGACGAGCAACCAGTTGGCGAGTCCTATCACGACCAGGATGTCTTGCACAGACGTGGACGGCTTCAACCACTTCAGTAGCCAGAACTGCAGGCACAACAATAGTAGGTCTTCCATCCGGAGCTTCTATCGTACGGAGTATCAAGCCATCGTCACTGATGTGGAAGAATCTCTTGAGATTGCGGACGTAGCTAGCCTCAAGATCCGGACAGTTTCCGGTGAAGGCACGACACACGTTCTTGCAGAGGGGATCGTCTGGCTGAGCAGAACGAATCTTCAGAAGGAGCTCGTTGGAGAAGCCCTCGGGGACAGGAGGAACCGTAGATGAGACACCATCACCAAGAGAAGTGGTCGTGGCAGCTGCGAGCTCTACATCCTCCGGGCCATCGGGGATGTCGGGCACAATATGACCAGCACTCCAAAACTCGAGCGGGCGATGAGGCTCTCGCAGGAGATCCTCGAAGTATTGCAGCCTCTCCTCAGCCAAGTCGGGAGTGAGATTTATAATGCGAGCTCTGGAGGGACCATCAGCGGGGTTGATGCGGCCAGGGATATGATGAATAGATAAGCCAAGTCTCACACAACCTTCACGGGCCTTGTGAATATTCAAGATCTCCCATGCTTGGAGTCCCTTTGTCCGGAATTTCCTGGCGGAACAACGGGCAAGATTGATAAGACTATCGGTGCAAAGATACTGCACCATAACGCCGAGCTTAGAGAGAAAGTCGCCAACTTCGATACCGAGGAGTATAGCGGTCAACTCTTGCCGGACTATGGTCCATGAAAGTCGTGCAGCGGGAATAACCTGGGCTCGAGCAAAGAGCCGGGTGCCCCTCTTGTCACAGACTACAGCCGCAATGATTTCTTTGCTGGCGTCAACGGTGATGAAGAGTGGTCCTTGGACAAGGCGATTGACCCTTGGAACATGAGTCAGTGCTCGATAGAGGCCTACCAGATCGGTCAGTATGCTGGTATCACGGACAACTGCGTCAGGAGACACCACTGATGAGCAGATTCGACGATATAGAAGACGGCCACGAAGAACCAGCTCCAACCACAGACCCAAAGGATCAAAGAACTGCCGCAGCCAACTGTCGATTTTCCGTGGAGTGATGTTCAAGTCAGATAGGTCTTCAAAACCACAGAAGGAGACAGCGGACGCATGATTGAAGTCATCCGGGTGTGCATGGGCACGGTCACGCTCGTCGAGCTCATGCTCGGTCAGAGACGCGAAGCGGACCTCGGGGAGCGAGGATAACGAGGCCACACGATAGGGTGATATCAGAGAGCCATGATGAATCAATATACCAAGGTGCTTCACGACATCGTCACTAGAGTCGTCGCTCTCCTTATCCGTCTCGCAGATGAAGCCGAAAATACGTGCAACCAACCGAACCACTTCGAGCGAAAGCGTTCTCGCACCAGAGGTCTTGGCGGTTATAGTGACATCGTCGAGGAAAATACGGATCCAAGACAAAGCAGTGCTGGGGCTCGAGAAATCGGAGTGAATGGCGAAGTGCCGAGTGATGGGACCAACCTTTAGAGGACCGAAGTCGATCTCAGCAATGTCCACACCAGGGTCTCCAAACAAGAATGTGAGGATGTACTGGGCAAGAGAAACAATAGGGCGCATAGCTCGGATTAGCATAGCAGGACTTGGCCGTAGGCCCATCATCACGACGGCAAACTCGAATGCACGACCGCGATAGATAAAACGTTGATACCTGCGGTCGGAAGATCGGATCTTCAAGGAATAAAAGGCCTTGCTAAGGTCGGTTGTGGCGTAGTAAGTAGAGGTGCGAAGTGCAACCAAGGAGCTCACGATGGTAGACTCCACGACCGAAATGTGCCCACGGCAGAGATAAGCGGACAGTTCATTGCCACACCAAACCGGACGGCAGGGGCTAGTCTTCGAGGCTGTGAAGACTGGGAAATGTGGCATATAGTAAGCGTCATCGCCGTTGCCGGACTCGTCGATAGACACCGGACGAATGAATCGGCTCTTCTTGAATGACTCAATAAGGCTCTCGTAGATAGCAAGATGACCAGTCTGCTGTAGTCGATTAAGCAGAGCCAGATCACGGCGAATGAGCTGCTTCAACCGATAGGGTGGATGACGATCAGGCCGAATGAAGGGCAACTGCATAGTCATGCGCTTGGCCTTGACAAGAGAGCCATCCTTAAGTACCATAGGGCCGTCCCTGACTGAGACCAATAGGTCACTCGGACCTTGAGGGTAGAGCTCAGTGTAAGGCAAATCATGAGCGGACAATTCGGGGACACTAGTACCGACGAGGTTAGGAGAGTCGCTCTTGGCAAAGGTGATGTCATGAGCTTGGCTAATGATAGGATTCTCCTCAGCTTGAAGCCCGTCAATCAGAGATAGGCCAGCTAGACATTCAGCGGCACTAGGGAACACACCATATAGAGCATCAGGGATGACGTCGTGGGTGTCAACTGGGGAAATGGGCACGACACTATCAGCCGAAGCAAGCTGGTCAATGGTCAGAAGGAGGTCATCTGTCTGTGTCATGGCAACCTTCTTAGCGGGTAGCTGTCGTTTTCGTGCAAGTCCTTGTTGAAGTTGATGCCATTGTAGAGGTCCAACACCAGTTCTCACTGAGCAGGCTCCTGGAGAGATCCAAATCATCATTCCAAGAGCGGACAGACCTTGCATACCGATAACAAGAGGGGCAGTCAGCTCTGGAACCACCAGAAAATCGAGCTTGATTCTAGAGTTGATCGTGAGAACAGTAAGACGAACAACTTGAGTCGCATAGTAGGTCTGCTTGTTCGCCACTCGGAAGGGCTTTGGAGAAGGCAGAGGCATCACATGACCAAGTTTGTTGGCGGTGGAAAGCTGAGCAAAGTTGCAACTGGCACCAGTGTCCAGGAGACAGGTTACCGCGATAGAAGTAGATGCGTCACCAGTACCAGGGACAACTTTAATAGAAGAAGAGAGCGCTCCAGGCCCATTGGGGGTAGAGTCGATGCAACCTAGGGACTCAGTGCACTCGTACAGATCAACATTGGTAGCGGGCATCACCGAGGCAGAATCAGCTAGCAAGGCAGCGCTGGACTGAACGCCAGAGAGGGGGACACTTTTGGGCTTTGTCATGGGGCAGATAAAGGCTAGATGGCCAGTCTGAAGGCACCGTCCACAAGGAATTTTGGCCGCAACGATCCTGTTATCACAGCCGTCGGTTGCATGACGTTGGAGTCCACACTTAGCACACCGTTTATCAGATTCGGACGGACTGGTCGCTGGGCAATCATTAACAGAGTGGCCGCCAGATTGGTCTCGACAACGATAGCAAGTCAACTTCGGCCGTTTCTGACCTCGGCCATGACGTTGATCTCGGGATGACTGCTGAGTCCTGGAACCACCATCCATAGACACCGTGGAGGTCTTGTCTCCCAATCCTGAAGTTGCAGCGAGAACTTGGGGACTACCAGTAGAGGGCATAGGAGGAGGAACGGACAAGTTACTAGGCGGACCAACTGGAGATGTGCCAGGAGGCCACGATCCATCTCGTGCCGCAGTGCTAGCTGCAGGGTTCGAAGCGGTCGGAACAATCTCAGGGCCAGTACGTGGCTGAGGCTTCTTCACATAACGACCATTCTTGTCGAGAACCCATGGACCGGGGCGCAAAGTACTCCAACCCGTACCAATCGAGTGGTTGATGCAGTGAACTCGAAGTCGTCTTTGGAACTCACTTTCGTCCAAAGAAAGCGGAACATGATCTTCGACCCAGGCTCGCACGGCGGACGGCAAAGCTGCAAGGAGCCGCCCATTAGCTTGAGTGACCGGTAGAGAGTGTCCGCGTCGCCGAAGCTGGGCCAGGATAGTGGTAAACTCCTCTTCAAACAACTGATAGGTCGGAAAGTTCGTAGAGTTGAGCACATACCATCGGTTGAGGATAGAGCTATCATCATTTCCTTGGAGTTCACCATAGTCTGACCGTAGGGCTGTAACAGCAGCTTCATATTGGCGACCGTAGGGGATGTTCTCGATGGCACCATAGGTAGACTCGAGCTTGAGACCCAGCTTGGTGGAGACGTGAGTAGACAGATTCTCGAAGAGATAGATGAACCGGAAGCTATCGGAGCCCAACTTGAAAAGCATAGAGCTGGCTTCGATCTCCTGCAGGAAATCCTGCAAGCTGCGAGTCTCTGTTAGATCCGCAGTACCTCTCCAAGCACCACCCGGAGGTCCCTTGGCAGAGGAAGCGGCCATACGAGAACGTTCTTGTGCCCAACAATCGACAGCTGCAGATCTCTTACGATCCTCAATATCAGCCAGAATACTTCGCTCAATAGCCTGCGTGTTAGCCTTGGGATCGGCAAAGACGATTCTCTCATTGGAAGTGGTGCCGAACTGAGCGGTCTGGTCAGCAACCGCCGAGATACCAACTTGGAACGGACGACAAGACTCTGCATTGGGAAGGGCAGCGGGGGAAGAATTGCGAGCAACCATGAACTCACAGAACTGCTGGAAGAGCACAGCCATATTGTCGTTCAAAGAGGCTGGTTGAGCAACGCTAGGTTGTGCCGGCATAGCAGCAGGAGCGGACACATGGGAGCTGTCGAAGCGTTGCTCAACTTGACCTTGGGTATCAGTCTTCGGACGCAGAGGAAGTGCTGGAGACGGGGTCTTGGCGTGGGGATCGGGCGACACGTAGCGCACTTGATAGGCAGGAGACGGGTGGTCTTGTGGAGGGGGCTTACGGTCAAAAGTCATAGATGATAGAGAGTGCTGATGAGAACCGTTACCACTGGGAGGCACATCAGCAGAGTGGAGCGATAGCTGCGGACTCGCTTGTTCGTTTGCCACTGGAGTCAAGAGACTGGCATTGACCCCAGCACGAGCATCGGGACAGCGCAGTAGGGCAGAGGAGGAAGCAGATGCGACATGGTCGCGAATCACAGGCTGCATACCATTTTCAGCAGACGGACCAGGGATAGGCGGGGAGCCATCGGCAATAGGAGCCGGGGCACGATGGGGATCGCCACCAAAAGCAGGATTGGCATAAGATTGCTGAGCGACGTTGGCAGCAGGGGCAGGACCTTCGTTCACTTGCTCTTGAAGTTGGCGGTGCTGAGCAAGTCTCGGGGAAGTACGAGGTTCACGGCTAAAGTTCATGAACCGGAGTCAAAGTCGGTGTAGTGGAGAATGTTCTCGGATGATAATAGCAGGACTATAGGGCACTGCTGAACCTTTTCAAGACGCAACACACCAGAAGATACGGACAATGAGGCGTAGTTGAGTAGAGCAGAGGTTTCGCTGATGTAATCTTCAACCAGGAGCAGAGGGTGAAGAATCAATACGATCAGAGACAAACCACAGAGATATGCCCAGAGCAAAGGGCAGATCAGAGCAGGTAGAGATAGAAAGAGATAGAGAGAAAAGAGAACTGAAGGGGAGAATATAGCATCCATCAACGGGCAGACATGATACTCAGGTCGGATAGTTGCCTAAAGTGGTGTCAGTAGAATGAATCCAAAACCGTCGAATTCATGCAATCTGCACGAAGGCAAGCGCTAGTTGAGTTACGCTACTATTTCAGATAAACGGATCCTGGAATGTGCCTTTGACGTTGATTCAAGGGCCACCTGGAACCGGCAAGACCTATACAGCTGTTGCCATTGCGAAGCATTGGGTACGGAATAAAATTCGACCGTTGAAGCAAAAAAACTTCTTCAGAGAGACGAGGGTGAGCTCAGTGTTGTGGTCTCATTTTGATAGTGTTATTTATACTTCCGTAGTCAGTGAAGCGCTGATCGTCTAGCTCGAAATGTACACACAACCTTATGCGTTGCTGTGTAAACGACGTCTCGACTGTGAACTTTGAGCAAACGCTGATAAGCCCGATGATGCATTGCATTAGTCTTGGATTGCCTGGTCTTTGAATAGCTCACAAGGACGATTAATGATGCTTATGGGTGATTCAGGTCGTGTTCTTGTGGTAGTGGACTCAAATGCTGCGGCCGACAATACCCGCAACCATCTTGAGAGACACGGCGTCGAGTGTTACAGAGTTGGACGGATGCTCGACTCGCAGGCTCTAGGTTTATCTGAGACCGTGGAGCACTCTCTTGGAGGTAAGCTCTGTTGTATATACTCTTGTGCGCAGACGTTTAATGTCTGCTGGGTGAGAAATTCCTTTTATTTGCAAACGAGTAACTGTCCTGATAGCCTCTGATGCGTCAGCGGAGAGATCAAGTGTGAACACTAGCATTGCAATAGGCATTGAAGTATTTGGAACGCTTCGGTGGTATGAAGTGTGTTCCAAACCAGATCTTTGTGAAACTTTAACTTTCATAGTGGTGTATCGACTATGTCCTCCCGTTTGAGCTAAACCAATGGAATGAAGGTCCATTTATGGGGCTAGTTCAAGGACGAATGTATTGAGATTTACTGTTAAATGGGAACGAGCTCAGAGACCTCCTCGTGGTGTTCCTGGAAACTCAACTATAATGTTTTATTGTTGAGGCTAACATCTGAGCTGCTCAGACTGAGCATTCGATTGTTTTCTCTCTGTTTCCTTGTACAATTTGTTATTGCTTTGTTGGTTTGCTTCTCGTTTTGTCACGTCTCTAACTCCTTGTTATTTCAGTCCAACTGAATGGGTCCGATTATGGTATTGGTCCGACATACATATGTATGGTAAGTTATGCACATGTATGTTCTGTTTACTGTTCATTTGAAGTTGCCTTGTGTTGCGGTAATGGTTGGTTAGTCACCTGTTTGGTGCACTAATGGATGTGTCCCCGTGTTGGGGGAGTTTGCTCGGTGTTGAACGAGTATGCGGTCGACAGTTGTCGGAATCCATGTGTGGTTGGATGGTCGATCCCTAATTAGGGGTGAATGTGTTGTGTGGTGGATAAAGGGTACCATTGTCAAGTCGGTCGATTCGGGTGGTGCGACGCTAGATTTGTGTAAACTACTATCTTTTCGCGTACTAAGTAATCGTGATGACTCTTAATCACATACATGTTTATCATAAGTGTTATTATTCTTTCGCATTACTGCTCGTTTATTCTGTTTGATTCATCTTCATGGCGATTTCGAGTTCCAGCCGCCTCTGAGTGGCGTTATGCTTGAATTGCCCTCGTATTTTGTTTATCCTTTGTCTTTAGGTTCCTTTTCTTTTGTTTTAAAATTAGGATGAACCGTTGTTGATGTCGACGTTTTCAACTGCTCCAGATCTGCCTGGGACCATAGTTGAGACATTAGCTCAACCACCCTTCTCGGTTAACTCTTTGGTAACGTTGAAGGCAGCGGTTGATGATGCCGAGTTGTTGGGAGGAATGGTAGTTGCTTGTGCTGTCGCTATGGGTGGCACCCATTGGGTGCTGTATTGGATAATGATGCCGAACAGCCTCAGGCTGATATTATCGCTGTGAGACTGAGAAGAGCAAGACTCAGAGCTGCGTTGATTGCCGCTGCTTCTCAAAAAGAGGATGTGGTAAAGGCGAAGTTCTCTGTGGATGCGATACTCGTGTCAGCTGCACAGTTATTTGGTTGTTTACCCAATAATGAACTGGTTCCTCTTCCGCATGTTGCGGAGGTCTTGTCTCGAGATAGATATTTATTAATTGAATTTAAGACTTATCCTGAGATCACCGCGGCGGCCAGCAAGTCTGTTATACAGTTTACTCTAGATGGTCAAGCTGTGGAGCCTGCGAAACTTCCCACGGGGAAACCTCCTAATACCTTTGAGCAATGACTTCCATTGATCATCAATGATTGATGTTGCGGTGGGTCTTCACTATATATGTTCTTGAGGGTAAGGGTGACTTGATACATGTCTGTGAGTAATACTCAATGAGTATGCTGCGAGGGTTGCTTCGATATCAAATAAACACGGTTTTTGTAAAGCACAGTTGTTCGATCGACGTTATCGTCAGCGAATGATGTTATGCATGAGACTGTTGCAATCTCCCCTGTTCATGATGAGGTCAAGATGGAAGATCTTCAGGCATTCTCTATCTTTCTGGCTAAGAAGCTAGAGCCTCTAGAGCATTCTCTAGAGTCTTGCAGAGGTGTGTTCGGATGCTTCCCCGATGTTGGGGAAACCGAATGCACCTGGGGCGAGAAATATGTCAAAAGTGGTGTGGGAAGGTACATGCAGGTTTACCAAAGAAGACTGCCCATATAAAGATTGCAAGTTTGCTGAGCAGTCACCGCCTACTACTCAGCGAAGGGATGCTAATATGGATAAAAGAGCTATTAACAATCAGGGGCAGGTCCCGAGAGATAATATGGCAACTAAACGATAGCCGGTTGTGATGTATGCCCGATACTTAATAGTATTAAGTAAATACGGGTATCTTGTGTGAGGTTGGAGGTTTGTTTCTGTGAGTGTTCTTTTAACTAGGATATAATCCGATGTTAGTAGTTGATACTTCGGTGTGTGTCGAATGGGAAACGGATTTCCCGTCATCAACAGAATATAATTTGAAAGTAGTTTGTTGCGTTTGTTTGTTGTGTTGAATAAGTGTTGAAATATTTGCATCAAAGTAGATGTTCTCCAAGTCTGCTGAGTGGGCTTCTCATCAAGCTAGGGCGGAAACGGAAGAGGGGAGAAAGAATCGCCTTGATTTCCTAGAGCTTTATATATCAGCAGAAACAAAAAAAGGGTTATGAATCTGCGTATAAATAATATAAATCCATGGGAATGGAATTCCCATTGCCTGGTTTGAAGTTACGTTTGTGGGGGTTTAGTGGAATCAATAAATTTGCAGTACACAACAATATCGAAATACACATCGGGATTGAAGACACTCAACCAATTACATGGTTTCGGTGATATTTCGACATCGGATGGAAAGCTGGTAGCTCGGACGTTGCAATCGGCGCGTAAGATAAAACCTCAGATGAAAAAGAGGCAAGCTCCGTCGATACCGGAAAAGTAGCGGAAAGTTTGTTCAAATTACCGGTTGGTGTGTTAAGAACGGTGTAACTTGAACAAACCAAGGATGCTATCCTAATGGGCATTTCATTAGCTCTACGACCTGGAGAGTTATTGGAAACTCGAGCAAAGGATATCAAAGTTATTGATGGTGCATCTAAAGGATCGATAGATATGACTAAAGAGATTGAGGTTGGGTGTTGCCAAAATGGGTTCCTCTGAGACTATAGTGCGCGATTGTGTACATGTTAAGGATCAGCGTATGCATAGAGGATTATGTTGTGTGGTGCACCGTATGGCAAAGATTGTTGTAAGTGTACCAGGCTGGTACTACCAGCATGCTTGAGAATATTTGATAAGATCTATTAGAAGTTGCCGACGAATGCTCAGAAGTTGCCGACAACTTGGTATGGAACTGTCGAAGCGTTTTGATTTCTCCAAGCAAGAAATTGACGATATGATGAAGTTTACAGGTCATAGTTGTCGGCGTTCGAGTGCAACACATGCTGAGGATATTTACTTGATGTCGGAAACTTGATGAACTGGTTTGGGCGGTTTATTGGGAGGGCTTCTAGATTATCTCCATTTGAGTGGTTTCACAACACCCTAGTTTATTGACCTTCGTGGTTGACCTGGTGTTATAACTAGGATGTTGTATATAGGAGATAAAGTTTAGAAGCGCCACGGGTTTGATAAACCAGTGGCAACCACCCAAACCTCCATATTACTGAACACAATATAGGTGGTTACAGTAAATCCATAAATAAGGAGTTGAATGAAGGTCCATTTATGGGGCTAGTTCAAGGACGAATGTATTGAGATTTACTGTTAGATGGGAACGAGCTCAGAGACCTCCTCGTGGTGTTCCTGGAAACTCAACTAT